TGGTTGTGGTAGGTATGGGCCTACAGGTGAGGCGAGCTTGGAAAATAACCGATTAGTCGGACAGGGGTGGTCGGTCGGCTCATAGTTTGTCATAGTTTGTAGGTAAGTGAACAAATAATCAAGCATGTGGTGGAAAAGCACACAGTCCCCTCTCAAGAAAATGTGTATTTATAAGCGTTGTGTCCCGAAAGCTCGAATGATAAAAGAACGAGGAGAGATAAACCGACGGACGACGATTAATGGACTTTCTAAGGAATGGATAGACAGCTGAACGAGTAGTGAAAGAGGCATTGAGCATGAGGGACACAGACGAGGGAGTAGAGCAGGAGTCAAGAGAAGAGGTGCCTGAGTTTGTTAGGCGTGGAGAGAAGCTTTCGGATAAAAACCGACCTCGACAGGTGGAAGGATGACCCAAGAGAGAGCTAAGATAACCATCCTGAGATAATCGGCCTGATAATTAAATATATTTTAGTGTATGGTCACATGCATGTAGACGCATAGGCACGACGACAGGCAAAGCAGAGACAGACAGTGGCGACAACCGGTATCCCATGCCCAAGTTTTGCCTCAAAACGGTCTCGTGTCTCTACTCGCGTGCCTGAAAAACCGACCAACTGGGGGCAACAAATTCACTGCACACAGAGCACCCGGCGCGATGCATCAAATAGGGCAACCTCAGACAGGTTGGCAGTGGCACGGGCAGCTCAGGAGACGCCGATTGAAGCAGAGCTTGAGGCGAGATAAGGCCGAGGAGGACGGGCATAATGATTATTGATAGCAAAAGCATCCCAGTCGTCATCACAGTCATCTTCAACACCAACGACATAATCATAATCATACTGAAACACACTGCCATAATGCTAATGATACTGGAAATGATAACCATTATTATAGTGATAAGGATAATCATAATATAAATGCGAATGCTAAGTATAATGGAAATGACAATCATACTCATACTTATACTAATACTTTTAAACATAATCATAATCATAATCAAAATGATAATCATAATTATACTTATACACATAATTATAATGATAACGATAATGACAATCATGACAATAATGATGATTATAATTGTAATCATAATAGGGATCATAATAATAATAATGAATATAACCATTAACATGAATAATACAATAAAAATCAAATTTATGGCAATAAATTGAAACATTAACCTCATTTTCAATCCCAATCCCAATCCCAATCCCAATCTCAATCTCAATCTCAATCTCAATCTCAATCTCAATCTCAATCTCAATCTCAATCTCAATCTCAATCTCAATCTCAAACTCAAACTCAAACTCAAACTCAAACTCAAACTCAAACTTATTCTTATTCTTATTCTTATTCTTATTCTTATTCTTATTCTTATTCTTATTCTTATTCTTATTCTTA